TTCTATTGAAAGGACTGTTTTATCATTACAAATTGTTACTCAGTTTTGTTGTTGTTGTTGTTGTTGTTGTTTTGAGACAAGAATCTCACTCTGTCACCCAGGCTAGAGTGCAGTGGAGCAATCTCAGCCCTCTGCAACCTCCACCTCCCAGGTCCAAATGATTCTCCTGCTTCAGCCTCCTAACTAGCTGGGATTACAGGCACTCACCACCATGCCCGGCTAACTTTTGTATTTTTAATAGAGATAGGGTTTCACCATGTTGGTCAGGCTGGTCTCGAACTCCTGACCTCATGATCCACCTGCTTCGGCCTCCCAAAGTGCTAGGATTATAGGCATGAGTCACCACACCCGGCCCATTACTCATTTTTTATACCTCTTTCTTACCTTAAAATCTGTGTATGATAATAATGCAGTCATGTCAACTATCTTTCGGTTTTGATTATATGGTATATCTTTTTCCATCCTTTTACTTCCAATCTACGTAATTCCTATATATATAAAATATGTTTCCTTTGTTGTTGTATTATACTTTCTTTATCTTTCCTATAATATGATTATTTAGTCCAGAGGTTGGTAATTTTTTTTCTATAAAGGCAAGTAATAAATATTTTCAGTTTTGACAGTCATAAGGTCTCTGATGGAATTTCTCAGTGCTATTTCAGCACAAAAACAGCCATAAACAATGCAACATGATTGGCTGTGCCTGTGTGCCAACTGACTTTAAAAAGTGGCAAGTGGCCAGGTACAGTGACTCACACTTATAATCCCAGAGCTTTTGGAGTCCAAGGTGGGAGGATCATTTGAGGCCAGGAGTTCAAGATTAGCCTAGGCAATATAGCAAGACCCTGTCTCTACCACACATGCCCAAAAAACTGGCAAGCCAGATTTGGCCCAAAGGCCATAATTTGCTGACTCCTGCCCTGATGTGTGCCCAGGGTAGTCTGTTGGGATGGAATAAAAATTGTAGGAAGTTTATTTACATTTTTTGGCTACAAAAATAAGAATTAAAACAAAAGCTTTACTAATATATCTATTTATAGTGTATGTATATAACTCATAAATATATACAGATCATTTATAAACATTTTCTTTGAGACAAGGTCTTGCTCTGTCACCAAGGCTGGTATACAGTGGTGTGATCATGGCTCACTGCAGCTTCAGCCTCCTGGGTTCAAGCAATCCTCCTGCCTCAGCCTCCCAAGTAGCTGGGACTACAGGCACATACCACCATACCTGGCTAATTTTTTAAGTTTTTTGTAGAGACAGGGCCTTGTTGTGTTGCCCAGTCTGGTCTTGAACTCCTGGGCTCAAGCAGTCCTCCCACCTTGGCCTCCCAAAGTGCTGGGATTTCAGGCATGAGCCACTGCACCTCTCCTATAAAAACTTTTACCAGTGTAATACCTTCAAAGTATAAGATAAAATTAGATTCAAAATAGGCATCCTTTATATTCGTTCAAGCTTTTTAGAGTTAAACATGATAAGAATTGTTTTCATGGGTATTTTCTACGTCATCTAATTCTGAACCCTTCAGATTGAATAGAAATGTACTGTTACAGGCATCAGTGTCATTCGAGGACGTGACTATAGAATTCACCCAGGAGGAGTGGCAGCAAATGGCCCCTGTTCAGAAGAATCTGTACAGAGATGTGATGCTGGAGAACTACAGCAACCTCGTCTCAGTGGGTAAGCATGTAAACATAAGTTACCCTTGTAACTCCATATAGAAGGTATTTCTTTTTTAAGTGCCAATACATGTGAACAATATACTTAGAGTTTAATGTTATTTAGGCTTTTCATTCAGGATTCCAAAGTAACTATGCCCTGTCGAGGACCAGAAAGAATATGTTGTCAACTCCCAGTGATAAATGCAAAGGAGCACTTTCAGGATACTGCTTCTGAAGCTGTATTTTCTTCCACTTTTGGAGACTAAAATCTCATATATCTGGTCTAAGTCCTCTGTTGTTCCTTATTTACAGGGTACTGCCATTTCAAACCAGAGGTGATCTTCAAGTTGGAGCAAGGAGAAGAGCCTTGGTTCTCAGAGGAAGAATTCTCAAACCAGAGTCACCCAAGTGAGTTACTGAGCAGTAGTAGACATAATTCTGTAGGAGTGGTTAGACTCCAGGTCACTTTAGGGGTGAATACCTGAATATCGCAAGACTTTTCTTAGAAAGTCTAAAGGCACAAAAAGCAGCAGTTAAAAGAAAATGATTAATAAAGTTGATTCCATTAAAAGTAAGAAATTTGTTGATAAAATATATTATTCAATAGTGAAAAGACAAGCCACCAACTACTATAATATGTATGTAGTGCAAATAACTTAGAAAGGATATGCTTCCTGAAAATGTAAAGAAATTCTGCAAGTCATTGTGGGAAAAGATGGGCAACCCAATTGAAAAATGGCCAAAAACATTGAACAAGAACTTTTAATATGGCCAGTAAATCTTAGAAAATGTGTTCAATCTCGTTAGTTTTCATGGAGCACAAAATAATATATGAAATGAGATATGAGGTGAAGTAACAGATACAAAGCGAGTTTACACATACGGCAATGCCAAGTCTTGGTGAGTATATAGAATGTTAGACACCCTCCACTGACTGAAAATATAAACTGGTAAAACCACTGTGATATCAGGAGGATGTTTTCTTCTTCTTTTTCTTTTTTTTTTTTTTCGAGACGGAGTCTTGCTCTGTTGCCCAGGCTGGAGTACGGTGGCACAATCTCAGCTCACTGCAAGCTCCACCACCCAGGTTTATGCCATTCTCCTGCCTCAGCCTCCCAAGTAGCTGGCACTATAGGCGCCTGCCACCATGCCCAGCTAATTTTTTGTATTTTTAATAGAGATGGGGTTTCACCGTGTTAGCCAGGATGGTCTTGATCTCCTGGCCTCGTGATCCGCCCGCGTCAGCCTCCCAGAGTGCTGGGAATACAGGCATGAGCCACCACATCCAGCCTCTTTTTTAAAAATTTCCATAGGTGTTTGGGGAACAGGTGTTGGTTACATGAGTAAGTTCTTTAGTGGTGATTTGTGAGATTTTGATGCACCCATCACCCAAGCAGTATACACTGAACCCAATTTGTAGTCTTTTTTCCCTCTCCCCCTCCCCACCCTTCCCCCACCCCAAGTCTCCAGAGTCCGTTGTATCATTCTTATGCCTTTGCATCCCACCAGGATGTTTTCTAATCAGGGTATACTTTTGCATGTTGTAGCCAAGTAATTCCTTTTCTAACCGTATGACCAACAAAAAGATATGATTATGTTCTCTGGAATACATAAAAGAATATTAATGGCAGTATTGTTTATGTTTGGCAAAAATTGTGCTCATCAACAGTAGAATGGAGAAACAGTTGTATTCTTTAAGGAAAAATTATACAGCCACATGAAATCTTGTACACTGATTACAAACATGATATTAACCAAAAGAAAACAAAAAATATGCATATATGGTTATATTTATGTAAAGGTCAGAAGCAGGCAAAATTCAACTACATTTTTAGGAATTCATATATTGGTGATAAAACTGAAGAAAATCAAAGAAATGATTACATAAATATTAGGAGAGTGGTGAATTCTAAACATAGAGAAGTTATAACCAAGCAGAGGTACACAGGGATTTTTGCAGAGCCATTTGTGTTTCATAACATGGTTTCTGATTCCATGAGTGTTCACTTAATACTATTAAGTTGTACATGAAAGTTTTATGCATATATATATTGTTTCATGCTTACTAAAATCTTAAGAGGTAAGCGAGAAGTGGCAGATATTTGCAATATGACCTGTCAAGGATAGGCATTTAGAATGCATAAATAATCCAGACGTCTCTTAAATGTCATTTTCACAGTAAAACTTTCTATGGTACCCTATTTAAAATTGTACCCCTCATGTCAGATTGAAATGTGAAAACTTAGGATGGGATATCAGGTTCACTTAGCGCTTAGTTCTGATGGAATACATCAATGCTATGACAGCCAGAATGGAGTAGTGCATCTAAGTTAGTTGCAAGAATGCATTTTAATTTCAACAATTTTATACTTGCTATGAATCACAACCATAAGATGGGTTAGAGCTGTAAACTTTTTCATTTAATCATAAAGGAGTTGGTGCTGTTATAATTTTAATTTGATGTTGAATTGAGGGATATCAAATTGTAAGAATGTAGACAGTAGACTATTCTAACCATTATAATCTAGATAATGTCAAGACCTAGACTGTAACTTACTTTCAACTGTAATTTACTTTCAACTATTTTCCTTGTTATACTACTTACATTTGGAGTTTTGTTGTATTTATCCCATTCTCTGTTTTTTCCTGCTCCCTAAAATAACTACCCCTATAAAAAGCTTAAGTTTTATTTTCTTTCCTCTCTCCACCCAGTTAGGAAAATCTTACTAATCACATGCAAAATATGTATTCATTACCAGTTTCCTCTCCCATTTGCACTATAGCAATATTTTTTAAAGGAGGGTGGTCTGAGATATATGTATTTACACACACATACATCTGAATTATTTAATCTTGATAAATCATTAAGTGCAACATAGGCTGTATGTTGATAAGCCCTACCCACAAAAGATGTAAGAGTCATAAGATGTTTTCAATATTTCTGTTTTAGAAGATTACAGAGGTGATGACCTGATCAAGCAGAACAAGAAAATCAAAGACAAACACTTGCAGCAAGCAATATGTATCAATAATAAAACATCGAGTACAGAGGAAGAGAAAGTTTTGGGGAAACCATTTACTCTGCATGTAGCTGCTGTTGCTTCAACAAAAATGTCCTGCAAATGTGACTCATGGGGTGTGAATTTGCAGAGTATTTCTGAATGTATCATTAATAATAGAAACTATTCAACAAAGAAAATAGGTTGCTGTAATGTATGTGAGAATTCACCTTTCAAAATTAACTTTGAGAAAACTCAGACTGGAGAGAAATTTTATGAACATAATAAAAACACGAAAGCTCTCAATTATAATGAAAATCTTCCCAAGCATGCAAAGTTTCACACTTTGGAGCAAGCTTTTGAATGTAATAAAATTGGAAAAGCCTTTAATGATAAGGCTAACTGTGTTAAACATAAGAGTCCTCACACAGGAGAAACATCCTCTAAAGATGATGAATTTAGGAAAAATTGTGATAAGAAAACTCTCTTTGACCACAGGAAAACTGGCACAGGGAAGAAACACCCACATCTTCATCAGTGTGGGAAATCCTTTGAGAAGTCACCTGTGGATGAATATAATAAATTTAACATGGGTATAAAACATTATGAATTAAATTCAAGTGGAAATAATTTCAACAGAAAGGCACACCTCACTGATCCTCAAACAACTGTCACAGAAGAGAACCCACTGGTAAATAGTGACAGAACACAGACTTGGGTTAAATCCTCTGAATGTCATGAAAATAAGAAATCCTACCAGACGTCGATTAACAGAGTTCACCAGAGAAGTCACTCGAAGATAAAACCCTATAAATGTAATGAATGTGGGAAATCCTTCTGTCAGAAAGGACATCTCATTCAACATCAGAGAACTCACACAGGAGAGAAACCATTTGAATGTAGTGAATGTGGAAAAACTTTCTCCCAGAAGTCACACCTCAGTACTCATCAGAGAATTCACACAGCAGAAAAACCCTATAAATGTAATGAATGTGGAAAAACATTTGTCCAGAAGTCAACCCTCAGGGGACATCAAAGAATTCACACAGGAGAAAAACCCTATGAATGTAGTGAATGTGGGAAAACTTTTGTTCAGAAGTCCACCCTCAGAGATCATCACAGAATCCACACAGGGGAGAAATCCTTTCAATGCAATGAATGTGGAAAAACATTTGGCCAGAAGTCAAACCTCAGAATACATCAGAGAACTCACACTGGGGAGAAAACTTACCAGTGTAATGAATGTGAAAAATCCTTCTGGCGAAAAGATCATCTCATTCAACATCAGAAAACTCACACGGGAGAGAAACCATTCAAATGTAATGAATGTGGGAAAACTTTTGCCCGGACATCAACCCTCAGAGTGCATCAAAGAATTCACACTGGGGAGAAACCATTTAAATGTAATGAATGTGGGAAAAAATTTGTCCGGAAAGCAATCCTTAGTGATCATCAGAGAATTCACACAGGGGAGAAACCCTTTCAGTGTAATAAATGTGGGAAAACTTTTGGCCAGAAATCAAACCTCAGAATACATCAAAGGACTCACAGTGGGTAGAAATCTTATGAATGCAGTGAATATGGGAAATTGTATATATAAGAAGTCAACCCTAAGCATATACCAGAAAATTCAGGGAGAGGGGAATGCCTATTGATGTAATAACTAGAAAATTCTTTTGACAAAAAGAATACCCCATTTGATATCAGAGATACACAAAAAACAATTGAGGGTAGTCAATATAAGAAGACAGTCCCAGAAGTAAACCCTCACGGTGGATCAGAATTCACGTAGGAAAGAAACGAGATGAAGATGAATGCAGGAAGAATTGTGTCCAAAAGGCAACCTTCCGAGTATATCGAAGAATTCACACAGGCTTCTCTTCTCTTTTCAGAGTACTATGGATAGGCCTGAATGAAGTCATACCCTATTAGATAGCTCCCACACATCACACAGGCTGGTAATCTCTTCACCAGTACCAGTTTCATTTTATTCCGGGCACACAGTCCACATTTCCCAATCTCCTTTTCATCCATGTCGGTCTTTGTGACTGGCTACTAAGATGTGGATGTCCATCCCAGTCTGAAAAATAAGAGACTCCCCTAACAAATTACCAGGGCCCTGTCACAACAAAATGGATATCATTTCTAGGACAAACTTGGTGCCGTGCTTGAATGCAGCATAGTACAAGATAAGTCAGCGTGCCTGAATGAATATATGCAGCAAAATTCTCTTCTGCATCTTTCCCAGTTGAACACGATGTGAGCAAAATTTTAGCTTATACAGTAGTCCCCCCTTATCTGCATTTCCACTTTACACAATTTCCATTACCCATGGTCAAGTGCACTTTAAAGTTATTAAATGGATCCAGAAATAAACAATTCCTACATTTTAAATTGCACCCAATTCTGAGCAGTGTCATGAAGTCTCATACCCTCCTGCTCTCTCTTCCATGAGGATTATTGAATCATTCCTTAGTCTAGTGTACCCACACTCTCTGCCAGTTAGTCACTTACTTGGCATTTTAGTTATCACCTGTCAGGGTATGGCAGTGCTTGTATTCAAGTAACACTTATTTTACTAAATAGTGGCCTCAAATTGCAAGAGCAGTTCTGGCATGTTGTTATAATTATTCCATTTTATTATTAGTTGTTAATCTCACGCTATGCCTAATTTACAAATTTAACTATCATAGGCATGTGTATATATAGGAAAAAAATATAGTATATACAGGGTTCAGTATACCCGTGGTTTCAGACATCTACTTGGGATTCTTGGAGAGCATCCTTTGTGGATAAGTGGGGACTACTGTATTCTGTTGAGCGTTTACATGTTTGAGTCTATTTGTTTCTACACATAATTTAGTTATGTTCTGCTATGAAGGCAGAACGCTGCTGTGTAAGCCAAGCTTAAGTCAACCAGAGGGCACAAACCTTATCAGGAGGTTATAAAGTCAAGGAGAACCTCAAATATGATCAGAGAATTGTGGGAAAGACATCCTTTCAATGTAATGAAATTGATAGTACCACCTGATACAGGGCTTTGCATGAACCTAAAAGTCCTTTTTGGCTGAATGGTGAGCAGCCACTGTGCAGTTCAACGTAATTGTGCCTTGCTTAATTGCACAAAGGTACTTCCTCCACACCTCCTGACACCTCCATATACCCCAGCTACATCTGCTTTGAGGAGGAGTTTTCCCTAGCTCCAAAGGCCATTGGCACCCAACCAAGTATTATGGGAAACCTCCAAGGAGGGGAGGGTTCAAATTTATATGGCTTTATTGAATCCATGCCCAAGAGAACATCTTACTAGTTCATGTGGGGATAAGGGACATCTAGATTTAGCTAATGGGGTTTGGGTAGGGAAGGCAAACAAATGTAATAACCTTATGGATGAGGTACTTTGGGCAAGTGGAGTGTACTACAGTTATGTTTACATCTGAAAGTATAGTAGGGATTAATTCCCATCAGTTATAGAGAGAATTCAAATTCCCTGTAATTCGCATGAGTCATAGAATTCTAATCAGGAAGAATTGTATGTAAAGATACGTCTGAGGTCCAACAGCTCTGATCATTTTGGGCTTCAGGTCTCTGTGACTGGTGATTTCGTGGGTTGAAACTTCTGGCAAAAGGGAGCAGCCCTTGGGAGCTGGGGGATGGGGTTGACTTCATTCCCTGACAAGGCTTCCAGGTCCATCCCTTCTGAAAAGCATCTGTTAGTTTACTCTTGGGCTTTTACACATTGGCTATCTCTTCCCTGGGTAGAGGGCTCTGACCTAAAATTCCAGTTTGGGAGTGTGTCGTCTTGGACTCAACAACTAACAAAATGAAAAGGACCCAGCAAGCCTCACTTGTGGAGTGAAAATGGAGCATTCAGGAAGGCAGCTGTCCTGGCCCCACAGTATGTCAGCTGTATATGCAATAGTAGTAGCTGTCTCTGAAAAGGGAAATAATGTATCCCTTCTTTCCTGAAGGAAGCAAAGTTGCTGGCTTATAGAGTCCTCAATTCATAGAGGTTACTGTAATTGGGCCTGGCTCACTGATGGTTTCACTAACTGAAACTACTAGGATCCTACTCAGTGCCGTTAAGAAACCCAGAGTGAAATGGTCACTCCTCTCAGTGGAAAGAACACAGTGTTCTCAGCTCTGGCCAATACTCCATTTGATGAACCTTGTTACATTTTTGTTAAACCTTGGGCTCTGGATGTGGCCTAGCTATTTGATATTCTAGTTGGAAATTATATATTAAAAAGCACCCTTTCATCCTTTGTACATGGGGGTTAAAAGTCACAGCTGCTTAGTACAACCATCTGGGTTGCTCAAGTAGATGCCCATAATAAGAGACTATTTTCTGATAAGACTGACTGGAATCAAGCTGCCGATGGAGCTTTCTCCATCCAGATTCTGACCATTGCTACTTGGATCCATCATTTTACTGGTACGGCAAAAAGTCACCCATTTCACACTGGGTACGAAGTAAAGGGCTTTTTATCTGATGCTTCCATTGATGTCATTGGATATAAGAATTTGCAAAATTTTTTTCCTTCTGGATAAATAGCAAGTACTTCATATGCCATTGATTAATTCAGCTTTTTCCCACTGATTTTAAATATCTTTATATACTAAATTGTCATTTGTAAATAGTGCATATGACTGATTAAATAACATTCTGATATTTTAGTAACATCCCTTTGTGAATAGGACTGGCATGTATAAGAGCCATAATACCCATCTTTCTGGCCTGCTATTGAATTTTTCACAGAAGGATAATTGAACCAAGTTTGGAAAAAGAATACACCTTAGGACTTAAGAAATAGAATATCATAGGCCAGTTACATTGTAACAGTAGAACTGCCAGCAGCCTTACCAAGAAAATGCATTGACAATAGGAGAACATAAGGTTACCCCTGGAGAGAAGCAGCTATGACAGGAAGATTAATGGTACACAACCCAGTTAGTACCTGTTAGGACCAGTTAGTCCCTGACAATCAAAACATCACTGTTTACTCTGTTTTTGTAATACTTCGTAATATAAAGCAAGTCTTTCTTTAAACTTTTTTTACTCAGACTCAGAAGGAAAATATTTAAAATTATCTCTCTCCCTACCCCTTTTAAATAGGATATTTGAGGATTATGATTGGGTTTGATATTAAGGATCAGGAACCCTGTAGGGTTGAACTGATTCACTCGGGCGGCCTGAGTCACTGGGAGGCCAGGTGACAAAGCCTTATGACTGGGGACTCATGTGTTACCTGCTGTCCCTTAGCAGAGGTAGGCCCACGGGATACCTTCCCATACAATACATCACCAATTGGAGACCATGGTCTGTGCTCTAGTCATTTATGCTCCCTCTCCCTGCCTGGTTGATCTCCTTAGCAACTCACGGTCTTTTGCTCTGGCAGATGGATGCCTCATCTAGAGACCCTGGAGGAGTTCATTTTCTGTGTGCCCACCCATTAAGGGCCTTCAAGCTAATAAAGATAGAAAACAAGGCAGGAATTTTTGTCTGTTGTATTCACAATGTATCTCAAACACATGAAACAGTCCCTCTTCGTATTAGGCACTAAGAAATACTTGCTGAAGGTACAGTTATCAAAGTGAAATCTGAACATTGTTCCTTTTGATGTTCCAAGTTATCTTTTGAGGTGATTAATTTATTATAAATAGGTAAAATATTGCTATAAGTTCTCCATTTACGGGTATTTTATAAATTTTTAAAACTTGTTCTTAATCTTCAGAAGTGTACAGAACTGTTCTTCAGATCTTTGTCAACCAAAACAGTATTTTCAATAAATTGGGTTTCCCAGTTCAAAGTTATGTGTACACATTTAATCAGTTTATTAGTATTGTAGAGTATAACTTTTTTTTTCTTTGCTTCCACACAAATACTTTGTAAGTACCAGTCTAAGCAATTTTCCAAAACAATAATGTAAAAACCCATTTCCAAGATCAACCAGATGGGCATGCAAAGAAAATCTGGGAATCATCACTTTAATCCATTTTAACAATAGTTCCCCTCATTTTTACTCTCCAAATAATCCTTCTGACAGTTCAAAGGAGAAAAGTTTTTTGTTACATTCACATATCTTTGCCCTTGGAGAGACATGTTACCCTGAAAGAAGGGGTGTAACACCTTCATGTGACTTCCTGCCTCTATGTTTGTCTTCTCTGGTATCTTTTCATATTAAATGTCTTCCCAGAGCCCCAGAAGAAATATCTTCTGTCCTTGTACTAGGGTAGCCTTTTATAATGGGGGAGAAATTTGTTTTCTTGTCAGATTGAACAGTCTTCAAGTACCAACAGCCTGCCTGGCCAACTGGCTATTTTAGTGATCTTCCAGTATTCTAAGGAGGACTGACAGAACTGTATCTAGCTTACATCAGTTGACTGACCCATTGATACTTAAACTAGGAAACTGGTTGGCCTGATTTCTTGGCAAAAGACATCCGCCAAAATAAATTTGACCAATCAGATGTGCTGGGACTGAGTGACAGGTTCAGGATGGGTAATGTCATCACTGACTAATGAGGATTTCCTATCCTCATTTAGTTCCTTATTCACCAAATGTCTCCAATGCACACATGCCTAACAATTCAGTAATCCCTTAAATGCAAACGCACACATGCCTAACAATTCAGTAATCCCTTAAATGGCAAGGGTGAAGAGGCTACGCTCTTTAAAAAGAAAGAAATATTATTTAATGAGCCAAAAAAGATTGAGATGACAACCTTGTACATACCTTCAGCATACCTGATTATGATTTACTCCTCTGTAACTTGATGTTCAGATGGCACTAAAGTAAATGCTCCAAATCAATGCACCAATCTCTCAGTCCTCACTGGAGCCAACTAGTGATCAGTCTTTTTCCCCTTTGCCTCATTGATGTAACCTGCCTGACATCTGTGGCATGAATCTGCAAGCCATGCCCTAATCCATTTCACCAAATAATTTGTACCCTCAAGAAACCCTTATTTCCTTAGAAACATGTAATATTCTTTAGAATATGACAGTTGTTAACCATCATATTCCTAATCCCTCCATTAATAGTAACAATCCTTGCCCCAAAGGCACTTACTGCCTCTCTTACCAACTTTGATCTGATCTTTTACCATTTTCCTAGGGTCTCTGTCACTTTTTATTGCCTTAGCAACAATGACTTGTAACTGCCTTCTCTCTGGACAATGTGGGCTTTAAGGACAGGTCATGATTTAATAAGAAAAAGGAGGGAGGTATCACAACAATCACATTTGAAAAATACAAATTGTAAAAGCAATGCACTTTGATAGCTCTTAGTGGAAACGTCAACTCCCCTCTTTCAATAGTGAGTAAAACAATAGATAGATAGAAGATCAAAAGGAAATAGAGGATTTGAACTAAACCATAAACCAGTTATACCTAACCTAACATCTATACAGAACACTTCACCCAACACCTCCTGCATACAAATTCTTCTCAAGTGTACATGAAACATTCTCTAGGATAGACCATGGTATTAGGGCACAAAACAAGCAAAAATGAGTTTTAAAGGTTAAAGTAATATAAAGCATCTCCTGGGGCCAGGCACAGTGGCACACACCTGTAATTCCAGCACCTTGGGAGGCCCAGGCAGGAGGATCTCTGGAGCCCAGGAGTTTGCGACCAGCCTGGGCAACATGGCAAAATCCTGTCTCCAAAAGACACAAAAATGGTGGCATGGACCAGTAGTACTAGCAACTCAGGAGACTGAGGTAGGAGGATCGCTTGAGTCTGGGAGGTTGAGGCTGCAGTGAACCAAGATCACACCACTGCACTCCAGCCTGGGTGATGAAGTGAGACCCTATCTCAAAAAAAAAAAAAAAGTATCTTCTCTGATCAAAACAGAATGAAAACAGAAGTCGGTAAGAGAAGAAAACTTGAAAAACTAAGAAACACGAAAATGTGGAAATCAAATGACACATTTTTTAAAAATTAAAAGATTAAAGAAAAAAGTCACAAAGGAAATTAGAAAATACTTTGAGATGAAAGAAAATGAAAACATACCACAATGTATGAATGTAGCTAAAACAGTGCTTAGAGAGAAACTTATAGCTGAAAACACTTACAATAAATAGATCAATAACCTAACTATATACTTTAAGGAGCTCGATAAATAAGTGCAAACTTAAACCAAAGATAGCAGAAGGAAGGAAAGAATAAAGAAGAGAGATAAACAAAATAGAGAATAGAAAACAGTAGAACAAAACAGAACATTGGTTCTTTGAAAATATTAACAAAATTGACAGACTTTTAGGTAGCCTAACCAAGAAAAAAAGGACTCAAATTATTAAATCCGAAATGAAAGTGAGAACATTATTACCAACCTTTCACAAATAAAAAGGCTTATAAATAAAAAGGAAGTTGGAGAATTCACACTTCCCAATTTCAAAAACTCATTACAAAGCTACAGTAATCAAAACAGTGTGATACTGGCATAAGGACAGACATATAGAACCATGAAATAGAATTGAAAACCCTATACATCTGTGTTCCATTGATTTTTGACAAGAGTGGCAAGACATTTCGATGAACAAACAAGAGTCTCTTCAACAAACGGTGCTGGGAAAACAACTGGGTATCCATGTGCAAGAGTGAAATCAGACCCCTACCCAACACCACATATAAAATTTAAGTCAAAATGGATCAAAGACCTAAATATAAGAGCTAAAACTATGAAACTCTGAGAGGAAGACATAGGGGTAAATCTTTTTTGAGACAGGGTCTTACTCTGTCACCCAGGCTGGAGTGCAGTGGCACAATCTTAGCTCATTACAGCCTCAACCTCCTGGGCTTAGGTGATCATCCCACCTCAGCCTCCCAAGTGTCTAGGCCCACAGCTGTGCACCACCACACCTGGCTAATTTTTGTATTTTTTTGTAGAGATGGGGTTTTGCCACATTGCCCAGGGTTGTCTTGAACTCCTGGACACAAGTGATCCTCCTACCTTGGCCTCCCAAGGTGCTGGGATTGCAGATGTGAGCCACTGTGCCTGGCTAGGAATATATTTTTTACATTAGGTTTGACAATCATTTTTTAGATATGGCCCCAAGAACACAATCAGGAACAAGAAAAAAATTGATACATTGAACTTCCTCAAAGTTAAAACTTTTGTGCAGCAAAGAACACTCTAAGGGAAGCAGAAACACAACACAATGAATGGGAAGAAAAGTTTTCAAATAATATACTTGATAGGGGTCTGGTATCCATAATATATAAAGAATTCTAAAGACAATCAAGTTCAAAAATGGGCAAAGACTTTAATAGACATTTTTCTAGAAAAGATAACAAATAGCCTACAAGCACATCAAAAGATGCTTAATTACATTAGTTATTAAGGAAATGCAAGTTAAATCCACAATGATATTCTACTTCACACCCACTATGATGGTGTAATTTTTTTAAAAAATAGAGGTCAGGCGCGGTGGCTCACGCCTGTAATCCCAGCACTTTGGGAGGCCAAGGCGGGCGGATCATGAAGTCAGGAGATCAAGAACATCCTGGCCAACATGTGAAACCCCGTCTCTACTAAAAATACAGAACTTAGCTGGATTTGGTAGTGCACACCTATAATTCCAACTACTCGGGAGCCTGAGGCAGGAGAATCATTTGAACCCGGGAGGCAGAGGTTGCAGTGAGCCGAGATCGTGCCACTGCACTCCAGCCTGGTGACAGAGTGAGACTCCATCTATAAATAAATAAATAAATAAATAAATAAATAAATAAATAAAAACTGTTGGCAAAGATGTGGAGAATTTGAAACCCTCGTACATTGCTGGTAGGAATATTAAATGGTGCAGTCACTCTGGAAAATAGTTTGCCTGCTCCTCAACATGTTGATCATATAATTACACTATGAGCCAGCAATTCCACATAAATGTGACAATTTAGGGGAAACTGACCAATATTCAGGTAATACCTCAAAGCCACAAATTACCAAAATTCACCCAAAATAAAACCGATAATCTGAACTTCTTAAAACCATTAAATAAATAAAATTTGTAGTAAAAACACTCCAGGAAAGAAATGTTCAGGCCCAGTTTATTTCCATGGAGAATTCTCACAGATTTACAGAATTAATACCAATTCTACACAAACTCAGAATTGAAGAGGGAATACTTTACAGTTCCCTTCATGAGGCCTGTATTAATTTCATAAAGATAAAGAAAACTAAAGACATATTTCTTATTCATGCATGTGAAAAAAAAATCCTCAAAAAAAATTTTAAACAGTAACACAACAAACAATTCAATTTGAAAATGGGAAAAAGACATGAGGAATCTGTTTTGTCACTGAAGACACACCAGTGTGTATTACATTTCCCACCCTGTATATTATGTTTTGGCATTTTTAAAAAATCCCTTCAGCCTGGAGAGTGACTGCCTCTCCTAGGTCTAGCTAATTCTTAGAGACAGCAAAGAGCCCAATCAGGTGCATGCTTTTGATATGCAAACTAATCAATCCAGAGCCATACCTCCTCTGTCTGGCCTGTATACCCCAGGAGACAATATTCCTCAACCTTAATCATCCAGGGCCAGGTACCAGGCAACTAAGGGACCACTCCTTTAGTTGAAAGCCCACCAGAATTATTCAACCTACCCAATCTTAAACTGTTTACCCTGCCTTGCCTTGTCTTTTCCATGAAACCCCAATGAAGACTCTAGTCTCAGCCTTCCCCTTGCTCCTGTCTTCTGCCACCTGACCAAACCTGGTATTCCTCCCATGGCCCTATGTAGCATGCTATGCCTCTTTCTTCTAGGGAACCTGTCAAGTGACAGGAAACTTATTTCAATGGCATTAA